ACATTGATGGCCAATCTCGGATTTTTCCCAATCGAATGGCGAATGATACAACTTCATTATTATGGGCATTTCGAGTGTCCATTATTTCAAAATCTTCAAAAGTTCAAGATTAAGTAGCTACAACTCTGACTTTCAGTTTTACTGTTCCGAAGCTGAGTTTGTTGATATGGATGCGTTAAACTCGTCCACTGTCTCGATCCGCGTGCAGATAGCAATGACTTCCCTGTGTGTGGTTTCTGTTTATTCACCTCGGATGTTGCAGTCCATTGGTCTTAGTTGCGTAGATCGTCCTCTGTTCTCCTTTTGTCCCTTCTAGTCATACTAAACAAACTTCGATCTTCACAATTTTGGCAATCAGTGTCGAAAGGCGCCTTTAGCAATTTGCAACTTTCCTTTGAATAGCATATTCCTTCACATCCGCCTCATCCTATCCATTTAGAGACGAAATGGATCGCGCCATGGCATTTACAAATCAGATTAAATCGAGGATGACATCTTGTTGAGATGACGATTTAAAAATTTCGATTTTTTGACTGCTAGCTCAGGTCAGATCAGATTGTCTGGTCTACACTTTCAGATGCCACCCAGTCACGATCTTTGGTCATGTTTCGTGGACACAAAGCTGCGCCGTTTCGACATATGGGAGCGGCAGGTACCTAAGTTCAAGTACAACAAGAATGAGCCCTTCTTCCATTGTCTTGTGCCCACGGTGGATACGGTGCGCTACGGATCTCTGCTGGAACAGCTTCTTGCTGCTCGTCAGTCCGTCCTCTTCACCGGTGGTACAGGTGTTGGCAAGGTGATGATCTTTATCACACTTTTCCGATGCACTGAAACCTACCAACAAGTTATGCTCTACATTTTGCCACCTTAGACTGCAATTACTCGAAGCACTTTGGAGGAACTTCAGAAGGATGAAAAATACATGGCCGTTTACATCAACTTCTCAGCCCAGACAAGCAGCGGTCGCACACAAGAGATGATTGTGGAGAAGATGGAGAAGCGAAGAAAGGGTGTGATAGGCGCACCAAAGGGTCGTCACGTCGTAATCTTCGTGGATGACCTGAACATGCCAAAGGTGGATACTTATGGTAGTCAGCCACCCATTGAACTGCTCCGCCAGTTGCAGGACTTTGGCGGTTTTTACAATCGCGACAAGCTGACTTGGATTGCGGTGGAGGATGTGACACTCTGCGCTGCATGTGGACCCCCAGGTGGCGGTAGAAATCCCATTACTGCTCGCCTAGTTCGACACTTTTCTGTTCTCGCGATTCCTTCACCGTCGGAACTGACATTAAAACACATATTCTCTGCCATTGTGACAGTAAGCTTTGGAAAGTTATTGTAAAGTAGTTATATCTAAAGCTAGGTACTAGTTACTTAGCTTAACGGCATTGCGACACTTTTAAGGCACAAACACCCCGGAACAACTATATCTCTCACTCGTTTTCTTGCCATTAAACAGGGTTTCATGCAGGACTATCCTCAGGGTCTGCGACCATTGGGCGACTCGATAGTGGGTGGAGCGGTGGAAATGTATGGCCGCCTGGCAGCAGAGCTGTTACCCACTCCAGCGAAGTCGCATTACGTCTTTAACCTCCGCGACTTGTCGAAATGTGTGCAGGGCGTGCTGCAGGCTAGTCCATTGGCTGTCCGTGACAAGGCCTCCCTCACGCGCCTCTTCTATCACGAATGCTCCCGGGTTTTCCACGACCGCCTTGTCGACGAGACCGATCAACTCTTCTTTAATACCATCCTCTCGGAGATCGCAAATAAGTTTTTCGGGGAGGTATGGAACAACTCAGTGGCTAAAAGGTTTCCAAACGGATCTGGCTTACTTTCCTCGATAATCTATGTGAAAAGGATTTCTGTAAATCTTAAAACGATCTCTTAGATCCCTGCGCGATGCACAATTAAGT